GACATAATCGTTTCTCCCAATACCAAATTTGGTACATATCAAGCTATCGAAACAGCCATGATCGTACCATGAGCGTGGTGTAAATATCATGCTTTACATGACATGAACGCCTTTACTTTCACAGTATCACCTATCAATTAGGTTAGCCATACAGATATGCCTCGTGATGCCGATATTGGTACATATCAAGTTCAGGAAACGGTTGTAAGGGCACCACAGTCATGGCATGTAAACCACTCCGTTCATTACAAGTAAATGATTATGTTATATGACCAGCCAGATGTATTAGTCATATATTGAAGTTATGCTATATTAATTTTTGTACAAATCCTAGTAACTATACCTTCCAAAGAGCACAATATCTTCGGCAATAGATAGATAGATAGATAGATAGATAGATAGATAGATAAATAGATAGATAGATAGATAGATAGATAGATAGATAGATAGATAGATAGATAGATAGATAGATAGATAGATAGATAGATAGATGCTCAAAATGCCTGCAGTACGCAAATAAATGCTTCGTATTTACCGAAAGCGTGGTGGGTGTTGTGACACGATTCTGAAGGCGTGCTCAGTTCTATTTTTATTCCACTGTGGTGGAACTGCATTCTGCTGCTGTCATTTGAGTTTAGAGTTGTGAAAACTTCGGGGCGTCTAAATGACGTTGAAGAAAAAGAACGGCAAAAATAGGCTATAGTGCTGCTCGAGCTCCCGCTAATCAGCAGCTGCTGAATTGAAAAGCCCATTTGATGGGCACAGCAATAAGCGCCAGGGGGTGGCACACCGGACACGTGCCCCCCTCCCCTCTAGATATTTTGTTTTGCCATGACATAGAGTGCGAAATTGTCCATTTTAAAAGGCGTCCTTCCCAAAGTCAAGGTGGTGCCTCTACCTCAAAAAAAATTTAGCAACGCGCCTGCAGTGAAGTGATTTATTCGATGTGCAAATACCCCATACTTGACTAATGGCCGTGGCGTGGTCTCTGTCAAAACTTCGGCAGTGACGCCAGCGGCGTGAGCCAAAGTAGGCAGCGGTGCACAGCTCTACTTAAAAGTTCCTGCCGTAAGCACGCCGGCCTAGCAGCTTGAAGTAGCATGGCGTCGCAGTGCTCAAAGAGTACGTATAAGAGTACGTATAGCCACACTCAGAAAGTGCTAAAAAGTATCATGACGAAAATTTTCGTACTATTGACAATGTTTGCACTTTGTTAGCTGACTATTAAAATGCATTAGGTTGCGCGGCTGAGACACGGTTAGAAGAACGCACAATGATGCACAGGAAGCGCAAAATTACGCCCTTTATTTTGAGAATTGCATGATATTTTACACACATGCAAAGAAGACATTGCGCAAGTCCTGAAATTTTACGTTACACGTCAGCACTGCCGCTGACATACGCTATATATTTCGTACACTGGCAATGGAAGGCTTGCTGATACAACTATCTCGTAGTTTCAGGATACGTTCACCTTTTATTATCAACCGCGTCATGAAACTTTTGCTTCTGGCTATTGCAGTGCAGTGTTCAAACACAGGTCTGCACCTTCAATTCATGCAGTGGATTGCCAAACAGCCACCCGTTTTATTCTAATTACTTACGTTTCTAATTACGTTTTATTCTAATTTTAATTACTGTACTCCCGTAACCAATTTTAAATATACGGGGATGATATTTGCACAATGTTTAAGCAAGCAATTAATATACGTAGATTGTAAACAATTTTTTACATAGGAAACAGTTGGTGCGACGCTGTATGTTGCACATCTCCATTTTTCTGTTTTGTTCGTCACTAATATAGGTCTATTTTGCCAGTTTATCAGTGGCAAAAGAACAATTCGATCTCCGCAAGATGGAATACTTTCTTTGAGTTGTGAAGCATCTATTGTATACATGAGATTACCGCAGTTTCTTGTGCGTCTTCAAGTGCTCGAATTCCGTCACTTCTAGACTTACGCATTGTCATCAGAAGCTTCTCTTACACAGGAACTATCATCTGTTTCGAGTGTCTGGCCTTTTAAAGACGAAAAAATGATTGGGCCAAAATGTTTCTCATCAAATGAGTGCAGTATTTTTAAAGGTGTTCTTCACGCACATACCTAAATTGCCCACTTGGTTAGTTTAAAATGTGGTGAGTTATGCGGAAAGAGAGATAAATTAGGCTGTGGCTCGGAGCAACAGCACACATGGCTTCCTTCAAATAGAGAACAATATCTGAAAATCGGATGACTGACAAATTGACAAGTTAGCATGAATTCACACTACTGATATGGGGCCACAAGACACATAAAAAATACATATGACAGCCATGTTTCCTGTTTCGCTTTTTCGTGTGCAGTCGTCTTACCTTGTGGCACCGTTTCAGTAGTCTAAAAGCAGCGTTCTCAATTCACTCGGTAGTTAGTAGGTTATCTGCAAAGACCCTAGTGATTTTCTGGTGATCGACATTAGCTTCCCAGTTTCACGTTTTTATTTTCGGAATTTTGAAAGCTGACACGTTTAAAATGAAAGCATCACAGGCTATATCTAGATTGTTTAGCAGGTAAGAGGGTGACTCTCTTCGAAATGTCGATGTACGATGCTGAGGAGATACTCACGCGACAAACCTTCAAAACATTCGACAATGTGCAAAAAAGAGCTGTAATGAATATTTGTGTGTATTTTAGAGTAAAAACGCATACAACGAACACGTCTATGAGGGACGTTGGGGTGTTATAGTTCCGGAGCACAATGCTTGGCCTTATTTCTACATAAAAACCTAAGCTCGACCGATAGACTGCTTTCCTATAATAGTAGGAACAAACAGACAATGATGCTAAGTAAATTAGAGGGAGAGTTATTACACTAAATGTAATGTAAATGTGCAGAAAGAAAAGTGGGGCTCCGCCGCAGTGGTTTACTCGCTAAGGTACTCGGCTGCTCAACCGCGGGTCGCGGCATCGAGTCTCCGCTGCGGCGGCAGCATTTTCGATGGAGCCGAAAGTGTTGTAGGCCAGTGTGCTCAAATTTGGGTGCTCGTTAAAGAACCCCAAGTAGTGAAAATTTCTGGAGCTCTGCCCTATGGCGCTTCTCATAATCATATGGTGGTTTTTGAACGTTAAACCCCATATAAATAGCTATATAATAAAAATTGTACAAAAAGATAAATTTCCGCAGCCAAAGACCCATTCCCGTGACCTTCGAGTAGTGCATCCGATGCTATACTACTCAGTTACGGCTGCGGTCATCTCTCCCGTCCACTTTTCTTCCTTCATATTGAAATTACACTTACTTCTAATAACATTGCCTATGTTTGTTTTGCATCGTTGTTTCTTAGTTGACATTATATTGTTTCTGATAGGAAAAGGTGTGCTTAATTCACACTTTTTTTTTTCATAACTTCTCAACAATTAATATGACGTCTAGCACTATGTTATTCTGAACCCCAGAAAATATTTAATTGCTTCCGATTAACATAACCAATCTTACTTTTTATCTGAGAACCATATTATCAGAATGCGCAAAAAACGCCATCCAGAATGTCGGAACAATAGGTGCCCGAAAAGTGACGGGACATACAAGCGAAAAGTTTTTGGAGTTTCTTCAGTTTTATCTTAAGACTACGTGCTTCAGTAGAGGGCGAGGGGGTGTTTTGTTCGCAAATGTAAGGCGTATCCAAAGGGTCATTTGGGGCAAGAATACTCAATGATTTGTTATCCGACCTGGACAGAACACTGCTACAAACCTACCAACAATAAAGGTATGAAACAATTTTAGACGCGTTTGCAATTTATGTGTTGTTTGAATTGCGGTCCATCAAGTTTTATACAAGAGGTTGAGAAAGTACGGTTCTGTGCAAGAAAATGTATAAAATTTCTGTAGACAAGTCATGTAATATCGAGTGCAGCGAGCGTCCAGTTCTGATAGGGACCAACCTGTGCTAATGCTACGAAGCATAAGCTTCGTAGCATCTTTCCAATCAACTCTGCTCATTAAAAAAGGACGAAGTGGACAATGGTAAATATGTTCTTGAAGAATGCCATCGAAAAATCCTGTCATCATTAGATGGGAACTGGTTTGGCCCAACAATGTACTCGTCTTTCGGAGGTCAGATATCCGAAACAGATTGTTTTCCTTTCCAAAAAACTTCTGAAGACCATACAAAATTATGGCAATAGCGCCCCTTCAGTGTTGAAGACGGGCAAAAGGCTATCTTAATACGTATATTGATCACTTTTTCACTGTTTATTTGAGATTACCGATCGTGCGGAGCTTAGACTGCTGTTTTTTTTTGCTCGAAAAACTGGCCAGTCTGTACAAAAAGACCGGCCATAAAATAGCAGAAGAAACAAGTAATCAAATGTGCAGCATAGCCCAAGTACGTTTGATTTGAATAAAGAATAAATAGTTAACTGCATTCCACCAAGAGCTTATACATAGAGCAAACAGCCCGGTGTACTCACGATAGGTCTCGTGAACGCGCTAATTATGACGAAAGTGAAAGAGGGGGCTGGTTGGTAATCCACTGCAAGTTGAGGTTGCAGGCCTGTGTTTGAACACTGCTCTGTAATAGCCAGAAGCAGAAATGAAATGACGTTGTTTGTATTAGGAGGTCAACGTATCTTTACACTACAATACAGTTGCATCAGCAGGCCATACATTGCGTTGGCTGTCAAAGAACCAGAATGTACGAGTAGTAGTGCACATAGCTAATGTGATATGTCGTGACATGCGCAGTGCATTTGTGGTATGTTTCTAAAAGATCCCGCAATCCCGGAAATAAAGTTGTTGGAAGTCTCCGCTTCACGTGTCTCATCGTGTCTAAGCCTGTGTCCATGTCTCAGTCGCGCAACTCTATGCATTGTCATGGCAAACGAACAGGTCCAAATCACTACTTCAGCGCCTTTACTAATGTACTTCTCGCTCGTATTTCTTCACTGTGACACTAAATTGGCAACACATGTATCAGAGGCGTATCACCTGTCGGTGCCGTGCCTCCGATTTTGAATAACACATACCGGATTCTTGGCCAGAACAGCGCAACACGCTGGTCAGAAGACAGAGCCACGTCTCAAGAAAAGTCATGGTCCTGCGATGGGGATTAGAAATGAAGTGAGCACGTAACAAGTTTACACGTGACCGCACACAGACACACTCTCTCTTACACACGACCGCACACACAAATCTGCACCAAAAGCTCTTTGAGAAAGACTGCTCAAAGTGCTGGCATCCACCAACGCCGCCGAGAATTACTTGCATGCGAATACTCTTGCTTTACTAGTTGGGCTTTTGGACGCACCCGTGTTGTAAACTTTTCGCCTCACGTAAGGCTGATGTAAATGGAGTTTATGAGCACTGGCATGAACGAGGACAAATAAGAAGAGATACTGCACACCTAATGTTTTTTTCCTATTTGTCCTAGTCCGGATGAGCGCTAAGAAATAGCTTTTCTATTGTGCACCACCATGGCGATAATCCACTTGAAGACACAAGTGCAGTTTGTGAACTTTATTGACAGCCTCGTTACATAATTCGCCATTAGGTACTCATCATCGGTGGCGAAGAAATGCGAGTCCCAAGTGGGAGGGCTATGTTGAGCAGTGATGCTGTTTCCAACATTTTGTCAAGATTGCCATCGCATCTCACCACAAAAAGCACTGGAAGAAAGACCACCTCAAAAACGAAGTCTGAGAATCATGCTTCGCAAGTGAAGCACCGGCTGTGCACGCGTGCTAACTCGACGGTGTCGCAGACAAACGTCGTATATAGACTTTTTTAAACTTTATTGTTGCTGCGCTTATATTTTACAAGTGTAGTATAAACTTGATGCATGAATTCGTTACGAATATTTTTTAGCTGTTACATTGACGCAAATACAAGAAAATATAATTTTGAAACACAAGCAAAATGGTATACTGCCCCTTGCCACGCATAACCAACGCAATAAATTCTTCACTAAATGCGAATTCTGCTTAGTTCAATTGTGATTGGTGTCTTTGTTCCTTGGCGTACCATCACTTCTGCGATAATTATGACATACGAGAATGCCAGTAGGCCTGTATAAAATACATGTGTTTTTTCAATGAAAATGTGTTTATTGTTTTTCATATTTGTATTTATTCTGATTCAGTGGCATTCTGCTGCCCCACCGAATACAAGTTTCACTTCCGTGAACGATTCTCGTTTGCAATTTGCCACACCTTTATTACAAAATTACTTTTCTGAATACAACAGTGTAGAAAAGTAGTACTGTAGAAAAGAGTGCAAATTTACATTTTATCTGTATTATAGTGCCAGCAGAATCGCTCACCGAATTTCGCACACAACCGATAGGAGTATTTGAATTTGATTTCTTAGACAACTATAAATTTCAGCATGTGAGGGCTCTTCAAAAAAAAGTCTGATAACATGTCACGTGGTTTGTGTACCCTTACTTTCGGTCTTTCATTTTTTGGGCATAATTAGGATATGTCTTTCCTGCTGGGCACTCCCACACAACTTTTTGCACTTTTAAGGTTAATATATAAGCTAAGAGCACGTAAGTTGCTTATTTTTGTAGTGATATTGATTTATTTAGTGATAGAGCGACATCACAAAAGATAGCATCGAGTACAAATGCTAGCACTAAAATATCAGCCTGGGGCTGGATTCACAAAACTCACTTAAGAAAACATTTTTGCGCAATGGAAATTTTGTTGCGTAAGTCGATTCACGAAACAAAAAAACGTCGTAAGAGGCCATCGTTGTCACATCGGCCGCTGCAATAAAGCGCGCTGTGACTGCCCGGGAACATGTCAGCGATGGTGATGCAGTTACAATATTTGCTTACGTCACCGAAAAGTGCTCGTAAGTGGATTCACGAAGCAAAATTGTGCATAAAAACAGCATGGCTGAAAGAAAATCTCAAGAGTGGTCCGGACCACTCTTAGTAACAATGTGGGTACTTAGACCCTGCCACCGCGGCGGTATACTCTGGTGCCCTGGCTCATTTTGAGTTAATTCACGCCCATGAATCGCTGCCTGATGACAGCTGGTGCGTTTTTATTTCTTTCGGCGCTTTGAGTTTCGTGTGTTGTTTGCCTTGTACGCAGTGGATGGGGTTGACAACCACCGTCGTCCAATAAGTTCGAAGTTGCAGTAATTGAAGAATTCTATTGGGCGTCAATGGCGTAAAATTATGCATGTAAGATTTGTGGTTGGATGAAAACCAATGTGATACGTGAATGGTCGGCGCATTCGAACACGGCATGGCATAGGATCAACCTTATATGTTATGTTGCTGTGTTGCGCCCCATCTCATCCAAATAAAAGTGTGACTCGAGGTCCTTGCCTCATTGGTGAAAATTACCACCAAAAAGGTAAATGGAAGCACATTCCTTGCACACTATTGGAAATTAAAATGAGAGGAAGATTTTAGTGAGTGATTCATAAAGCTTGTGCTCTTGTGTACATTCATTGGCTCTAACTGTCCAATGGGTGCGATCTCTGAAATACAGCTGTCGATACACTTTGGGACAATCTAGAACAAAGCATACGTTGTAAACCGAAGCGTATTAGGGGTGCGCGTGATTACGCATGGAACTACAAACAAATCATGCATTTTCACCTTCACTGTTCAGACACCGATATGGACCGTGATAATATGGCAAGCAGTCGGAATAAAAGTACCCTAGTAACTTTGTATGACACCGAAAATATGCAAATCCTCACGATTCTAAAGTAAACCTTGGCTGAATTCATCCCTGCGTCAATTACCAGCCATTTAACTTGGCACACGAACATCATTCAAAGGTAGAGCGAGCCACTGACATGTATTTTGTGCGACGCAGCGACCACTTGACCTGAGAATAATAGCATTGCGAAGACGAAGTTCCTATCGCATGCTCTGATCGAAGCAGACGACAAACACGAGCAGACGACAGCTTGGCCTACGGGCACAGCTTGTGATTGGTTGTGTAGCAATACCCTCAACATCAGCTCACTCCGTGACGTTGTCAAAACACTTCTTTCGTCTGGCACACCTGTCGTGTTCGTCATATCACCCCCCTCGCACATAAGAGCAAATTTTTTCATGCCGTGAAAATAGCGCAAATACTTTCTAAGAGCTCTCTTACGTGCGGCGCAGTTGTCGAAAACAACATGGCGTCGCAAACAGCATATCGGTCGGTGCGACGTTCAGCAAACGCTTCTCGCATGAGTTACTTCAGCGTTCGACCGGATGCGTTGTGATTATGGCAGCTCTTTCGGTGCGTGTAAGGAGTACGGAAAGCTGTGGCAGTGCAATGGTGTACGGTGAAGCGCAGCGAAGCCTGTACGTCGATGTGGTTATCAAGCGGGGATCGGCGTCGGTGTATCGACGGCAACTAGCACTCGAGATGCCTGCAATGTGTGTGTGTTTGCCGGTAACAGTTCGTTTGCTTGACTTTCCAGTGTCTCTGTTGGGTGCTGTGCGACATTTTGGATTAACAGCGTTTTGGCACGTTACTTGAGTGACCTCAAGTACGTACGGAAACGTATGAACTACGCGCTGTGTTTGGTTCTTCCTTCACCACTGGTTGGCCCGTACGCTTCTATTTTCTTTACAGCAATCTAGTGTTCGGGAGTGAAATGATGTTCATTGTGAACAGTGGTGCTTTGTTGACGTTCCAAGACTTGTGAAAAAGCTGTGCTCGTGTGACCGAAAATTGAAAGACAGCGTTGATAACTGTTTTGCCCGGCGACGTTGTGGTGGAGCTTGGCGCTTTTGTTTGTTGACTCGTCACTTCTCCTTTTTGTGATAGCCATAGTCCTAGCGCTGTGATGTGATGAACCAAAGCTGCGAGATGCTACATTCTGTAGTGGATCGTGTTACTTTGGCAGCGCGTCTTGACTGTTCTTCGGTAACAACTTGAGAATTCTATGTGGCAGCGAGAGCCTGTGAACGTCAAGCTTCCCTCCAGCTGCCATAAAGAGCAAAGATTTTACCGGTGCCTTGCTTTGGATGAAGTTGTAGGCCAATACCGCCTAACTACAGGTTTCCGAGTTCGTCTGGCCATCGCTTTGCACGACACTAGAGCCTTGACAATAGCTGGTCATGGCAAGTTCTTACACTTCATCAATGGACGTGCACGCCTGGCCAGCCCTTCATTGCTGTCATTGGCAGCTTCCAGTCTGCAGATGCTCTTTGCCTGTTGGCCTTACTTGGTTCCTCATGACACCGACGGCTACTAAATGCTGCCATCGGTGAGTTCACCTTGCAGAACTAAATTTCACCGGTACTATAATTCACGCAGTTCTATAACGTGTGCAAGTTTTTAAGCCCATCAGATGTAATGTTTCTCCATGGTAAGTTGAAGCATGAAAAATTTACTACTACTGTTATATACATACATATATTATGGAGCAAACACATAAAACGTTTTTTGTTATTTGATACAAGTGAGCCCTTGTTTAATTATGAGGTTGGGCCTGTTGATTGACCACGTTTGATAGTTGGAAAGTTAATGTGAATTTATTTTTCTGGAGCCAGGTTGCACTTAAAAAATTTATGTTATTTTGGAAAATTAGTTCTATAGACAATTACCACTGTAGTAGTACTATACTTCAGTAGGACATACATAATGCGGTACGTAAATATTACATGAGGCTTCAGTTTATTTCAATGTGATTATAGCAGATTTTGGTCACTTTAACGAAGCGATAGCTTCCTCAAATAAGTATTAGAAGTGAATGCTTTTAATGATTGTCTTTAAATATCTCGTTTTTGGCTCTTCACAAATCGCAGAGATTGGTTTGTTAAGGTCCTGTGACGCATCGGTTGCACATTCTGGTACATCGATCCTCATCATTACTTGGAGCACCTGTACAAAGATAGGAAGGACACGTTCTCCCTAACTGTGCAAGCCTATGTCACTGCTGGGACTGTTATCATTCAGCGGATGTGGCGTGGAAGCATGCATGGCAGCCTCATCTGGAAGGACTGCAATCTGCGTGGGAGCTCCGAGGGCACAAAACTGCCTAACGGCTGGCTGCAAGGTTAAATTTTCTTTAATACATACGATTACGTGAACACCACTTCCTGTGCACAAATTGAAAACCCAAGCATGGTTG